ACGGTCTTGCGGTCTCCAATTGTGCGCAGCTTTCTAAGCAGGTGCAGGTGCAACCACACATTGTGATTCCCTCCGATTTGGTCTTCCGATAGGCTGAACCACGAGCCCATGCCCCGCCCACTGTGCTCCGGGCTATTTTAAGCTTCAGTCTCAACCACCTGGCGTGGTTGGAGGACCTTATACAAGCGTCCTATTTTCTCTTAATCGACAAAGATTCAAATTTCAAGTAGTTTGTAACTCGATTTGAGTACTCTCCAACAATAAAAGAGGCATAAATAACCAGTCCTAAATGGGTCTTCTGTGGTAGCGTCACTTTTGTATGACCCAGCACCACAGCCTCCGTAGAAATGCTTGGATAGGTTGATTTTGAAACGGGGTTGCACGTGTTTCTAGTATACGTGGGTTTGAGCTGTGTCTATTCCCACCTCCAGTTTTCACTACTTTGTCCTGTTATCTAAAGGCAGAAACGGCAAAGTTGATGTAATAAAACAGCCTCACTCTAACAAGAATAATCTTCAAGGGACATTAGTGGGGCTGGACGCTTGTGACAGCTGAACTGCTGCGTCTTCGACGTTCTCGTTATGATGACGTCCGACCAGGCCGAACCAAGATTAGAATGTGGTTTTGTGTAGATATTTCTAGTAGTGTTCTTTTGGTGCGAGAGATGGACTGATCTTTTTGACCTTTTATAAGTTGGAAGGTTTCTAACGGAGGCTAGCTTAGGGTATGGTCTTTTTGGTAGAGCGTAGATGCTAACGTCGTCTGTCCGCTTCACTGCAGTTTTGCCTCTTTTTCGTTCGGCCATGACGCCGTATAAAGCTATTTCGACGCGCCTAAATTCATGACTTCGAAACCTGCCGATTGACGAGCTGACCTTAACTGGGGTTTAGACTGCCATGGCCCCTTATTTCATTTCTCTTTACATTTTGTGTTATGTGCATGTGACGATCGGTGTGTGTGTGTGGTACGCGTAGACGTGGATTCAGTCAGGGCTTCCACGCCAAACACTTCCCGTTTTACCTTTTTCCTGACATCGAAACACTTTGGACTTGGGAAGATTGAGGTGGATACTATGGCAGTCTCTGTTGCTAATAACAATACATGCACAATTTATCACTTCACCGTCGTGAGCTTTGCGGTTTTCTACTGAGGGCGAAAACTCAACGCTCTGCCCAGTCTTAAGCTTCTTGCCTTAGTAGGCGATATTTTCGCTCCGAATTCGCCTCGTCTTGGCCTTATTTAGACCTTCCGCACCCATGTAGCCTGCCGCCGACCCGTAGCTTCGCAATACGCACTTGGTCGTGCTTCTGCGCGTCTTCAAATTGAATTGAATTGCCGTGGCTTAGTCGCTGGTGTGCAGTTTTTTACCATTCATGCACTTGTGTTTTTGTGGATTTTTGCTATTCTGCTTACACAATTCTATTAAATTCTCCGCCTTTTAGGTGACAAATGGCCGTTGTTGGTGGGCCACACCAACCAAATCATTATGCTGATAACCATCCAGCTGCGGCAGATCAACACCCGTTTCTTCGATGACCCCTCCATCTCTGCCAACCACCTCGTCTGCTTGCTTCGCAGTCTCCTTGTGGTGGTGCAGTCTGTAAGACCTCTCTCTCTCTCTCTTTTGATCTTGCCTTCTGCTTTAAAGAAGTTTGTCCTGTTTACTGGTGCCTTGGACCGTCTTCTCTTGATAACGCTACTGTGTACAATAAAACGCAG